ACAATGGCTTGACGGAGGTCGCCATTCGTTATGTGCAGCTCAACTTTGCTGCTGATGGCGAGGTTTCACCAGACTCTGCCAAGGTCCTGTATCTCCGCAAGGTCGCCCGAAATTTCCACCACCACTACGTCAATCTGGCGGTGGACTCGATCATGCAACAATTCTGGCAAGCCGCCACCTCAACCTGGCTCGCCAGCAACAAGCAAGCCAATGCCACGACGCGATCCCAGTGGGAAGACCTGCGAAATCGCTGCTACCGCGACACCGCCCTGCTCGACGACCCAGACGAGCCTCAGACCGACGACGGCATCTGGCTTCCGTTGTACGCAGATGGCATGGCAAGAGACGAGGCGAGCCTGCTGCAGACCAGCATCAGCTACGGCTGCGAGCTGCACGAGCGGCGCGCCGAGCTGCAGGCAGCTAGCGAGGCGGAAGAAGCTCGGTAAGTACCCCTTGACAGTACCGTTCTGCGATGCACAGCGACCATCACAGAACGGCACTGCGCTCGCTTCCCTAGTTGCCTTGGCCCACAGACACTGACGAACACTCCACCTCTTTTCCTTCTGCACTGCAGTCAGGCTGCCTTGGCCGCCGAGGTCAAGAGACGTCTTGCCGCCAAACGATGCAAGCGAAAGGGCAAGGCAGCGTCGTCGCCAGCAAAGCGGGCAAAAAGACCCAGAGCTCCTCAGCCAGAGGACGCGGACGAAGAGCAGGACGAGCTCGAGTCCGATAGCGAGGAGGAAGAGGTCGTGCAAGCCGAGATCGAGGCTGAGGAGGCTTTACGCTCGGCCGCACGGCAGGTCAAGCCCGACACTTGGTGCACCAAGGCAGAGGGAAAGACCTGGAAGCAAGCAGCCGAAGCTCCTTCGCTGGTCAAGCATCTGTCCGCCATCAAGGACGTGCCCAAGGATGTCTCTTTCACGGACCTTGTGGCGGTCAAGGTCGACCTTGAAGACTCCTCTGGCTCGATCGCTGTGGACCAGGAAGCCGGCCATGTCGAGCACGACATCCGGGGCATCGACGGCGACCTCAACTCCGACGAGTGCCTGCGAGCCTTCACCTACCTCTTCCGCACCTATCCTGATGCGGCTGCGATCAGGACAGCTGACTCGTTCGCCATCCCGAGCAAGGCAGTCCTGGCTCAATACGAGCCATTTGACCTCACCGAGCTTGGCTTCCGCGCCTACCCTTTGGACGCCAAGCTAGACAAGGCTCTCCGTCAGCCGCTGACGCTGTCGGAGACGCAGCTTCAGTCAGGTCTATGGTTGTTTCGGAAGGTGGCCTTTGACATCCGCGAGACGTCCGCGCTGCGCCAGCAGATGGAAGCTCTCTCGGACGAGGAGCTGTTCGACCGAAGGGACTGGTCAACCGGAGGCAGTAAGTATCTGAATCATTCCGGCCAGAAAGGCGAGGCCGGCGCATGCCTTGACTCGGACAGTCGGATACAGAGCCGTTCTGCAGCGCTGCTGGGTTCTTGCCTCGACAGAATCGTTCTGCGCTGTCGAAGCGCGTTGCTCCTGCATCTGTACCGTTCTGCAGCGCATCTCGACCCGCAGGAGCACTGTCGTTGTTGCTCTCGTACAAAGCGCTAACCCCTGTCCTCTCTTGATGCGCACAGTTGTGGCCGATCCGCCCGGGCTTGGCAAGACGGTGATTGCGATCCTCTTTGCACTCATCTACCGCAAGCTCAAGGTCTCCAACAAGCCGTGCCTCTTCATCGTCAAAAACTCGGTCAGCCAGCAGTTTGGCAAGGAGGTCTTCCGCTTCGTGGACGTCACTCTCGGCGACACGTCGGACGGCGAGCTGCACTTGCTCACCCTCACCGAATCCAACTACGAAGGCAAGCGCGTGCCTCGGGACTTCAAGGCCAACGACCGTACCACGTGGAATGCGGACCTCTTGGTCGTGGCGTCCAACAAGAACACGGCCCCAAAGGCCAAGAAGGATCCTCGCCTGCCCTTCCACACGTCGTGGAAGTATGGTCTTGTCTGCTACGATGAGGTCCACGACCTCCCTCAGACCACGGCCGGAACCTTCTCGATGGAGTACAACGTGCAACGCGAGTTCACCGTAGGCTTCTCGGGCACGCCCATCCGCAACGTGGAGCACTTCCTCTTTGTGATGGCGTTCTGCGGCCACCCCGCTGCCAAGATCAGCACGGCGGAAAAGGCTCGAAGCCTTGGCCGAGCGTTCCTCCACAGCTTGGCGCTCGATGAGGCCGACAGGAATAACGTGGGACGAGTCTACCGAGACAACATCCTGCAGTGGACGACGCAGAGGGACAACTTTCTGACGGGTCGAGGTGGCGACCTTACGGGGCTCGAGACACTGGTCTCACGTCTCTACGGCATGCGCATTCCTCAAGAGCAGGATGGCGTCATGGACGAACCCATGCGCGCACTGCATGTGGAACTCCTCAAGACGTTCATGAAGCCGATCAGGCACAGCGCCGAGACAGTTGAGCGAGAGCTCAGCAACGTCAAGACGCACCACGAGAAGTTCCACAAGCAGTTGCGCGACAGGTACATCTTTCCTATGGGGGACCGCTCTGCCGGGCCCTTCGTGCTGAAGCGTCCTCGTGCAGCCTCGGACCGCCTTCCCGAGCTGCACGAGTTCAACGTTACCATCGAGCATGAGCCCAGGCACGGCAAGTGGCTGCACACCATCGAGCAGAAGGCGAAACGCCAGAGCGTCGCCTTCAAGATGGCGAGGGACGCTGAACAGCATCCGCAGATGACCGAGGACTACAGGGCTGCTCAAAAGCGACTCCACCAGGAGAGCGCGGAGCAAATGGTCAAGAACCCGAGCTACCAGCATTACGCCGTCTACCACCCGGCCCTCCTGGCTGCTTCTCTGCAGGATGGACGCAAGGAAGAACGCGAGGGAATAGACCTCGACGAGGAGATCCAAGACAGCTTCGAGCAACTGCCGTCGAAAAAGGGCCTGCTCGTCGCTGCCCTCACCGCGCACATCCTCGCCAACGTCGACAAGTTCTTCCAGTTTCCTGCTGGATGCCCAACGCTCCCGATCGACCCCTCGTCCCTTCCTCCCCGTCTGCCCGAGGGATCCAGGCCGCAGAAGATCATCATCTTTGCTTTCAATGGCCAGATCGCCATGTTCATCATGTGGTTCTTGCAGCGCTTCGAGATAGGGTTCCTGAACCTGTACGGCGGTGACAGCTTCGACGCTCTCGCCGACCGGATCGAGAGCTGGGCACACACTCCGACCGTTCCCGTCATGATCATCTCCTCAGCACTGTAAGTCCAGGACGTCTTGACCCAGAGGCGGAGCGCATTGCTGCGGGTACAGTACCGTTCTGCAGTTGGAGCACCTCGACGGAACCCTTGCGCCGCTCCTGTCTCTTTCTTCTCCTGCTCACACGTGCTTGCGAACACGGCTGACATCCATCTGATCTCTCACTTCTCCAGAGCGACGGGCATCAACATGATCCAGGCAAACATCCTGATCTTTGCCCAGGGATGCTACAACGAGCTCGAGGATCATCAAGTCAAGGGTCGCATCCATCGAACGGGTCAATTGCGTCAGTGCTATGTATACAAGCCTCGGGTCGCCAACTCGCACGACGACTCGGTGCGCCTACAGGGCAAAGCCAAGACCCTGAACCAGGCCCCCTTCGAAGGAACCAGCTCCAAGATCCTCGAGTTCTGCGAGGCGAGCAGCTTTGCGCCACGCATGCGCTCGTGGGAGCGGTGGGCTGTCAAGGCGGGCTTCGGACCGGAGGAGAGACCTCTCACCTGGTGGCACCGAGGCGGATCGATGCTGCCGTCTCTGGACGACGACCACTCCGAGGATCGCGCTTCGACCACGCAGACGGCTGGTTCGCTCGAGGCGATCCCAGAGGAGCCGATGCCACCGGCTTGAGCATCCCCATCCGTCTCTGGGCGAGCCACAGCCCCCCTGCGCTGTCCTTTGCAGTCTCACACTCTGCACCGAGACGTAGATTTGCTCCATTGCGTCGTGTTTCCGTGTCTTTGATCAATCAGAATGCTTTCCCGAATCGACACCGTATGTCGCTGTCCGTGATCGCTTGCCGCAGCCATTGCAATTTCTTCCATCTTGCAGGTGAGGGGTCGGTACAAAGCAAGAAAGGAGCGTGCGGAGACGAAGGAGGAGCGATGTGTGCAGAGCTACAGTCGCAATCGTGGCCCGCAACTCTGTAGATCTTCGTTCAGTGCCGTTCTGTGAGCCACGACTCGCAACTCACAGAGCCGTTCTGTAGACCACGACTAGCAGAGCGGTTTCGGCCGCAACCGTCGTGTTGGAATGGCAAAGAGATGGGTTGGTAAAGTGGATGGATTGGTCTGGGCGCAGTCGTCGTGACGAATGCGCATCGCAATGAACTCGGGACTCGGAAGATGCGAATGTTTGATCTGCACACACTCACCAGCACCCTCGGATCCGATTCTCGAATTCGGGACTCGCTTGCTCGCCAAGCAGCTCAGCTCCACTCGGAATGTTACATTCGCTGTAATTACATGGAAGTGCGATGCATTCAGTTCAACGATTGGTGACGCGCGCGTCTCAGATGGGCACGTTCGGAGTTGCCGCGCGGATTTACCTGAGTATTATCGGTGCAGTCTGCAGAACGGCTCTGCAGGGATGCGGTGGGGACGCAGAACGGTTCTGCACCTTGCTGCCCCCAGAACGGTTCTGGCTCTGCAGGGTTTCTCTGTGCCGACGTACTCTACGGCCTGTCCGTGGTCGCGCCAGTGCGAGCAACAAACGAACACACAGATCACGGGCAAACGAAACAGACACATGAGATTGCCAACTACGTACGACGGGTCTGACTGCGAGTCTGGCGGCTGCTCGACGGTTGGGCTGGCTGGCGGCTGCTCGACGGTCCGGCTTGCGGCTGCTGGTCGGCGGCATCCTTCTTCGTCTTCTTCTTCTTCTTCCTGCTCGGCTCCGCCACCTGCTCCTCTTCTTCTGCCATGCGGGCCCTCTTGCTGGCGTACCTCTCCCTTTGCTTCTGCTTTAGCTTGTCGGCGTAGCCTGGGTCGTTGGCGTACCTCTC